TGTATGTATTCATTCATACATACACCCTCATGCCTTGACAAGGCCTGATGGGACACCCCAGCAGTTGGCCCACAACCAGAGATGCATAAGTTCCAAGCTCTTCAGTGCATACACAGCAGTTTTTGTCATTTCCCCAGGGACAGTTGGCATTCAGTACTGGGTTTAGAGCCTCGCATGGATCCTACACAGTAGTCAAGATGAATCCTTTAGAAAATTACATATAAGATTGGTATGTTACTCATCCTGAGAGCAAATGCCATGTAGTCATTAAACATGTGGCAGAATATTTAACGCTATGGAAAGACATTCACAAAATAATAAGTACAAAAACAACTAAATATATTTATAGATCATGTATATACATATATGTGATTCTGTTTTCTAAGGTAAAAACATACAGCTATGGGGGAGACCTGGCAGGATAATGACTGAAATGTCAACAAATGTTAACTTCTGGCTTCCTTAGGTGGTCTCAGTTTTCCACAAGGAAGCTGTGTTTTGGATAAGTTTAAAAATATTTTTCAAAACCTATTCATTCAGCCAAAGGTTTTCTGCCACTCTGTTCTATGCATGCTGCCTAAGCAGTGCCACACTTTGACACACCCTTCAAGCGCTATGTGTGAGCCTGTGGTATTCTCAGTGCTGCAAGCCTAGCACTGGCTGGAGCAGGTAAGGCCCTTCACTCATCAAGTTTACAGTCAAGTAGGGAAGACAGATGCAGACTCCAGTAAGCATATTGTCCACATTACCTCTCTCAGGAAGGCACAGTAGATTGACTAAACTCCACGTTTCCCTTCCAGTGCGCCCTATTCATTCCTCCACATCCAGCCCTGCCATCTCCATCCATGAGGTGGGTCATACTGGAGTCACCAAAACTGAAAGGAGTGGCATCACCAGACTGAGGAGTGAGATGAAACAGGTAAGAATACCTTGGCATGGCAGGAGTGGTTCTTCTTCCTCTGCTCACCTTAGAAAGCCATAAAAAACCCAGGGTGTGAAGCTTTGGTCCTCTCTGATAAAATGTGAGGTCCCTTCTGCCTTGGGACCTGAATACAGTTCTGTATCGTGATTATGTACCCCAGAGCCATTCACATGCATTCACACCCACTGATGTCTGACCTTCATGAGATGTCACATGTATATCCTGGAGTACACCCTTGTCCGTGTTTGTTTCTGTGTCATTTAAAAAGTAGACTCATAGGGGCTAGCAAGATGACTTAGTGGTTAAAAGCACTTTCTGCTTTTACAGAGGACACAAGTTTGGTTCCCAGCACCCTCATTGATTGGCTGCTCACAACTGTCTGCAACTCTAGTTCCAAGGAACCCTCTTTTGGCCTCCATGGATACCAGGCACACACATGGTACACTTACATACATGCAGACAAAACACTCATACACATAAAAATTCATTTTTTAAAGAGTAGAGTCATGTAAAAAGAGGCAGCCATTTCTGTATCAAATATGTCCAGCTGAAATAGCAAGAAGATATGAAAATAGTCTGGAATAATCATGATACCTGTATTCTCCACTTCCACCTTCTCTTCCAGAGAATCTCCAAAGGGATTCTCCAAAGGCATCTCTTTTCTTTATTCACAGTAGAAATGCTTTTGAACTGACCCTCACAGGATTGCAACTTAACACATTTTCAGTCCTGATGTTTCTGGTACTGTGCTAGGATATGACCATGACCTGCACCAAGAAACATAGGTCAAATGCTGCTCACACTGCCTCACTGGCCCAAAGTTGTGACACATACATGGCCACCCCCTGAGGTGCCCTGAATTATAGGAGGGTGATGGGAGCAGCGGGGCATTCTTAGCTTGAAGCTGGTTTTTACTTCCTGATGTTTTCACTTTCAGATGACTAGGCGAGCTAGTGCTGATGAACAGGTTTGAAATGCCTTGCTTGCTTTGTCCTCTGTGTGAGCTGCATGCTCTTTCTAGCTTGAATGTGAAAAGTTGGGTTGCAAATCGAGTGTGGATGTGGACACGTGGAGGATTGGCTCTGCCTGGCACAGGAGCTCAGGCAGGCCAGCCCCAGAGACAGAAATCAGGAGGAGAAGGGAGGAGAAATGACCTTGCCCTTTGCTTTAAAAACAAAACCTATTTGTGAAACTCAGGCTTCGTAGAATACTTTGTGAAAGAAATGATCCACACTCTGACTCCGTGAGCTAAGCAGGGAGAGTGTGCTCAGTGGTGTCATCAGTAGAAAGAATAAGGCAGTTCCTGCAGTTCCTGTCCTCAACCCACCTGGGGGGATTTAACCCTGGAAGGAAAAAAGTGTCAGGACACTATTCATGTACATCACCCTGTGACATACTTCCTCTTTCTTCCTCTAGAAAAACAAATGGTCATATTCTTTTTCTTTCTTTCTTTTTCTTTCTTTCCTTTTCTTTTCTTTCTTCATTTCTTATTTATGTATTTAATTTTGACATGAAGACCTCCATGCCACCCAGGCTAACCTCAAACTCCTGAACTCAAGGGATCTTCATCCCTCAGCCTCCTGAGTAGCTGGGGTTACAGATGCACACCCCCAGGCCTGGCTTTTGACTCATATTTCTAATGGTTTGATGTCTCTATGATCAAGAGAGAGTAAAGGTATGATGGCATCTAATGCAGATTACACGTGTTGTCCAAAGAGAGAACATACACAGTCTCTCATTTGTGGTCCTTCTAATGAAGTGACTTTCCAAGCATCTTCCTTTGTCAGCCACTCGGTGGCACCATTCCTCTGGTTACTCACAGCTCAAAGGCCTGATTGTGGGTTAATATGGATGGTTCCTTCTTCTATCCAATGCTGTCCTTGCCTGTGACAGGGATGAAATGATCATCTTCCTGCCTTGTTATTTTTATATTCAGTCAGCCAGTACCAGTTTTATATTTGGTTACTTATGTCAAGAAAATGTTCTCTAGTCAAAATTTAACAATGCAATGGCATCAGACATTTTTATTCATTTCTGCAAGTATACCATGTACACAGACCAATCCCATGCAAATTAAGGGTACCATATAGATTCTTAGATGAGGATATACTTGTATGGCCAAAGGTCATCAACTTGATCCCATCTGTATATCTAATAATAATTAATGGGAATCCTGTTGGGTGCCAGGTTGTTAGTGGAAATTAGAGGTATTTTAATCTCTGTGGATGTTTGGAGTGCAACACAAAACATTAGCATGTCATAGCTGTGGCTTTGGAACATGTGTCCTAGCTTGATTAGACCTGCTTCACAAAGGAATGGAACCTGGTAACATTTGCTATTTAAAGCCAAGCTGGGCCACAGGGGCTGGGCTGCAGGGGCTGGGCTGCAGGGGCTGAGCCTCGGGCTGGACTGCAGGGACTGGACTGCAGGGGCTGGACTGCAGGGGCTGGGCTGCAGGGGCTGAGCCTCGGGCTGGACTGCAGGGGCTGGGCTGCAGGGGCTGGACTGCAGGGGCTGGGCTGCAGGGGCTGAGCCTTGGGCTGGACTGCAGGGGCTGGGCTGCAGGGGTGCAGTGGAGCTGCATCTACCTGTGCTGCTGAATGAGAATCTCTCTAGGCTTCCATCTCCATGTTCCACCTGTGCACTTTTCACACTGCTCTGTGTTCCTGAGCACTGCTACTGTCTCTTGGTGTCACTGCACAGAACTAAGTTGATTCATTTTTGTTTTGTAGTTCTTTCCTGTGAGCCAAGCCGTGTCCAGCACTGTACATTCCTTCAAGTCTATGGTAAACGGACGTCAGCATGGCATCCTTCCCTGTCTCCTCCTGTGTCTATATTGTTGGAGTCTCTTGTGGCCTCACCCATGCTCCCACATAATCTCTAGCCTCATTTGCTGGTGTGTGTGTACAGTTCTGGGCATGGATCCAGAGCCTCACATATCCTAGGCAGATACTCCAGCACTGAGCTTCACCTCATCCTCATCCCTGATTTCTGAAGGTTGAGCAAGGGTTAAAGGTTTTCAGTTAATACTGAAAGTATTCTCCAACTATAAGTTTGAGAAAATTCTAGAAAAGATTAGGACATTTGGGACTGGCGATATGGCTCGGGTTAAGAGCACAGACTGCTCTTGCAGAAGACCCAGTTTCGAATCCCCGCACCCACATGGTGGCTAACAACCATCTGTAACTCCTGTTCCAGGGGATCCAACGCCTCCTGAACTCCTCCGGCATTGCATGACATGAGTGTACTTACATACAAGCAGGCAATACACATACATATAAAATAAAAATAATAAAATATTTAAGAAGCATTAGGACATTCTTCAGCTGAACTTTATTTGCTACCTCAAGCTCTCAGTTCTCTTCTTTTGCTCCTCAGTACAGTGGATGAGGAGTGTTTGCCACACTAATACCCAGAAGTTTCTGGGAACTTCAAAACCCTGGTTCCATGCCTTTCTGTTATTTATTTATTTACTTTATTTTTTGTGATATGGAGGATGGGACTCAGGCATCAATTGTTCTGGGCAGGCACTGCACCACTGAGCCTCATCCCCAGCCCCATGTGCCTTTGTATTAAGCTGCAGCACGGAAGCGTTGCCCCATGGGCTGACCACCACTCTGTACTCTCCTGCCCCAGCTGAATATGAGACCCTAGCTCAAGTGGAGCCTAGGAAATGTTCTAATTGCAGAAACGAGTCTGAATCAGCTGAGTCATTGATGAGTGCGGCTGTAATTACTTTTATTTGTAGCTAATTGTTGCCTTATTTAAATGGCAGTAATGAGCCCAGCAGAATAACCCAGCCTAACTGCCTTTTCAAAATAAGATCTGTTGAAGTCAAAATGAGTATGGAGAGAAGAATCCAACCTCCCACCCTGCTAATGTGCTTAATATTTGGATTTTATTTTTAAACCTTTAAATTTGATGTTGCACATTGAGAAATGAAAGTGCCAAATAGTCCAGAACAAAGACCTCTGTAAGATGTGCACTGTCCTTGCCCTGAACTGAGACCCAGGCACGGAATCCATCCAGGGCAAGGCCGCTGACACTGAGTAGTGTTCCAGCAAGCACTGGGTAGTCAGCAGCCCTGCAATGCTTCCCTTGTGGAGGCTGGAGGAGTCCAGCCTCAGGGAAGGAGGTGGCAAGATGTCACCCTCTTACCCTATTCAGCAGGTCCGAGATGAGGGCCACCATTGCCCTGCCTTAGGATAAAACCCAGGACCAAGAGCAGGACAGCAGAAATAAGGATTGAAAAGCACAGTTGAAGACCCAAAAATCTTCAAAGACTCCAGTGCTAAGCAGGGATTCCTAGTTGAATTTCTGTTTTTGCTTCCTGTTCCTTTCTCCCTGTAGTATGTGTGGCATTCTCTGTGGTACTTATCCTATGAGGAGGTGACATTGCTTCACCAGGTTGTGTCTCCGTCCCTCTGCAGACTCAGCTGCTCTGATACCATCTCTCCAAGCACACCTGTGGCCTGCTTCCCTCAAACAGGCTTGGTATGCCAGACCAGTGACCTTTGAGGAGAGGCTGTCAAGAGTGACAGCTGCCCCTATGAGCACTCAGCAGAAGCCTCGAGTATTCTCAGGGGTTTCTGTGTCTTCTCTGAGTGGATGGCTGCAGACAGCTCCCAGAGAGAGGCAGGCTGGGTCCCCATCGTATAGATGCAGCTGAGGCAACAGGTGGTGTTAGTGTAGGGTGGGGGCAGCCTCACCTTAGATTCTGCCACAGCTGTTGTTGAGCTTGACACTGTGAGTGCCTGATGGCAAAGCCCACACCTGTGCCTGTTTGGTCTCTATCCTGTGAATTCAGGATCCCTTGGTTCTATATTATTTAGGGGCTGGGAGGAATTAAGTTACCAAACCGGAACATGAAAGATTAACTCCAGCATGAAGTGGAAGAATCAAGGAATCCTGTAACCTTGACTGAGTGGTATGTGGATATTGTGACTAGATTGCTGAGCTGGCCTTCAGGGTAGCAACCTTTTCCCATGAGTACCTGCTTCTAAAGGCTATGCAATGTCTGTCTTGCAGAGGTCCAGCACCCCATCCTCCCCGACAGGCACATCATCTACAGACTCTGGAGGACAGCACATGGGCTGGGGAGAGCAGCAGGGCCAGTGGCTGCGCAGAAGAAGGCTGGATGGGGCCATCAACAGAGTCCCTGTGGGATTCTACCAGAGGGTATGGAAGATCCTTCAGAAGGTGAGCTGGGTGCTGGGCCACAGCTCATACACTGCTACTTGGGAGACATACACTCTTAGGAAAGTGTGTTCTAAGGAAATAAGCCAGCCTCCACTTGCCTTCAGGAACTTATACTGGCCCTGCTAGGTATCAGGTAGCAGATGGCTATAGAACAAGTGAATGCATAAAAAGCCTTGACTTTGAGTAGCTCAGCCTACAGCAAGGTTTCTCCACCTCAGCACTGTTGGCATCTAGGGCCAAGTAACTCAACTATGGGACTGGCCTGTACACTCTAGGATGGGTAGCAGTGTCTACCTACTAGTTGTTAGCAGCATCTCCCCACACAGAAATTATACCAAAAGTGACTCCAGGCATTGCCAAATAGCCCTTGCAAAGAAAATGACCCCTGAAGAGGGCTACTGACTAGAACTACGGACGAGGCAAGGTAGCAGTTGAGGTTGTATGCAACCAACTTTGACATGTTTTAAGAACATTTAGGAACATAGAAAACTGAGAAGATAGACAAAAGCCAGAGAAGTCAGGGAAGACTTCGGATGAAATTACTCTGATGTAGAAACCCTACAGCTTTAGCTCTGGCTCTGGATAGGACCAGCTCCCATCTTGAGGCACATTCTAGCAGACATGGTGCCCACATCACTCAGCAGTGTGATAGTCTTCATATTCTACTGGGCACTGAATTAGGTCCTGGGGTACACAGTAACAAAAGATAATAGCCTGGCCCCAGGACCCATGTGCCCTACAGCCTCCTATCCTGTGCTGCTTCTGTTTCCATGCCTGGAAGACAGAGCCCCTGCCCTTTAGCCAGCTGCCCTCTGCTCCTGTGGCCATCAGATAGGGCTGCATTTCCCATCTGCCTGGGGCTATTGAAAGTTTATCAAAAGTAGTCCTTGGAATTGGATGGGTAGTGACTCATTCCCAGACCACACTGCACACACCTGAGTGCCGGAGGGTGGGGGGCTGTCTGAAACACTGCCGCCAAGGTGGGGGCAGCGTGGGAAGATAAGGCCCCTCTGTTCTTTGCACCAAATAATCCATCTTCTTCCATGTTGGCTCCAGGGTGTTCATGTAGGTGCCCAGGCCCCACCAGTTTGTCCTGCCTCCCCCATGGAGGGATAGCATGCCTCAGTTGAAAGCTTGCAAACCAAGGCATATTTTTTCCCCTCATCAGTTTCTTTTTAACTCATTTCACAATAGGAGGGGGGAGAACTGCAGTAATCTGAAAGAGTGCACACTCCAGCTCCTTTGTGAAACCACAGCTCTCTGTGTTCTTTCTGCAGCAGGTTCCCAGAGCCAGTCACAGAGCTTCAGTGGCTGTGCTCTGTGGGCCAAGGTCTTGCTCAGGACAGCTGCCAAGCTGGATGAGAGGGCAGAACAGGCCTTTCCCTTTGAACCCCAGGTCCTGACTCTTCAGGAGCCCTCAGACCAGGGTGAAGGCAGGAGGTAGAAGGTAGCCAGCTGTACTAGGTTCAGATGTTTCTAGAAAATCTCTCCACTCTTCTTTCCTAGGGCCTCACACACTTTGATTGGACTTCTAGCACAATACCAAGATGCTTTTATTATGAAAAAGTAGCATTTTGTATTGCTCCCGCTTGGTATTTATATACATGGGTGTGCGTGTGTGTGCATGTGCCCTAGCCTTTTGTGACTGGTGCTTATTATAGAAATCTCGAAAATAGATGCCTGCAAAGGCACAGAAGCATCACTTCACCAATGGGAACCATGAAAATCTCCCTTCATTATGGCACCAAAGGGGGCTCGGCAGGCATCAGGGCCCAGCTGCCAAGCGAAATGTGGAGCCTCTCAGGAGGAGGATGCAGCAGCTCCCTAGGGCATTGTTCCTGAGCCTATCTGAAAGATGCCTGCTGGTTTCCCCAGAATTGTTCCATCGAAAACGCAGCCTGTGGGCAGTGAGAACAGCACTCTAAAAATCTAAAAATAACTCTGACAGTCTGGCGTGTTCCAGCTCTCGTGCAGATTTCCAGGGCAGAGAAGCTATGTGCATGCCTGCGTGAGTGAGTGTGTGAGTAAGCACATACTTGTGATGTTCTGGAATCTGACTGAGTGTCTGTGTTCTGTCTCTAGTGCCATGGCCTCTCCATCGATGGTTATGTCCTCCCATCCTCAACAACCCGAGAGGTAGGATGAGAAAAATCCACACACTAATCTCTCCATGGGTTCACTTCATGGACTCTGATTCCCCATGTGCTTCTCAAATTTGTTGCCTATAGACAGGCCATTTGTAGGTCTGATCACTTTAGCCACCTCATCATCAAATTGTGCAGTTTCTTTCCATCAGCTTTTCTCACCTGTTCCCCTCAGAAACACCATTGTAGACTATTGAGGTCCCCTAAAATCCCATCCAAACTCCATCCCACAAACACTAGATGCATGTGGTCTCCTCTGGCCCCTTCAACCATAGACATTCATTCCCCTGGTACATTTGCACGCCATGCATTTTGGTGTGTGATGTGGGGAGACAGGATCTCACTCTGTAGCCCAAGCTGGCCTTGAACTCATGACATTCTTCCTCTTCAGCCTCGAAAGTGTGAGCTACTAGGCCTGGCACCTCCAGCCATTCTTTTAAAAACAGATTTGTTTCTGCATTTTTACCCTGCCCAAGGCTCTCAATACCACAGAGAATTTTGCTTTCTTCTTTTTAGGAAAAGAAAAAGAAAATGGTCCCTCCTCCCTGGAAGTCATAATCTAGTGGGTAGCCAAAGGCAGCTGGGATAAGGCCAACTGGCTTCCAGGGAAAAGCAGTCAGCCTCCTACTCCTGAGCTCCTGCTGCAGAATCAGGGCAGTGTCCAGAAAGAAGGCACCTTCTGAACTGAGCGCTAACAGTACTAGGGGCAGTATTGGTTATAGGGCTATGTCTGTCCCATCTCTCATGACTGGCTACTTGCTGATCCCTTTGATAGATGACCCCATGTGAGATCAAGTTTGCTGTCCACGTGGAATCGGTACTGAACCGTGTGTCCCAGCCTGAGTATCGACAGCTGCTGGTGGAAGCCATCATGGTACTGACACTGCTTTCGGACACAGAGATGGACAGCATCGGGGGCATCATCCACGTGGACCAGATTGTGCAGATGGCCAATCAACTATTCCTACAGGACCAGGTGGGTGTCCCTGGGCTACCCACTCACCCCAAAGCCAAGATTGGATAGCCAGTTTGGCTGGCATTTACCTCTGTTGAGGCTAAAGATTGTGTCCAATAGGAAAGCATATACTCAAACCAAGAAAATGTCATCACAGATGGTGAAAAAATGTCAACCATTTGGTTAGGAAATGGCAAAGTGGCCACTTGGGAAATCTAACAACCTTTGGGGATCTGGCCTATGTTGGTGTGGGTTTTATTCCAGACACTACCATTTGCTACATGCATGGCCCTGGGTGAACCACTTACATTGTACCCAAAATTGAGTTCGCAAAGATGCTGCCCTCTCAAACAGTCTGTACTGAGCTACAAGTGGAGGTCTGTAAGAACAGTGCCCACAGGAAAGGCAGAACATCACTATGTGTTCTGTGTCATTGCCATCCCCGATCCTGCCCCATGGCACTGACTTCCTGCCAAGGGGCCTGGATTCAGGGTCCCAGCCCCACCTAGCAGATTCCCTCAAACTTACAGAGTAGTTCATTTAGGAGAAAATGTAGGTTCCACTCATTCTCTTTTTTTCTGACCACAGGTGTCAATTGGAGCTGCAGACACCCTGGAGAAAGATCAAGCCACAGGAATTTACCACTTCTTTTATGACAGTGCTCCTAGTGGGGCTTATGGGACAATGACCTACCTAACAAAAGCAGTGGCTTCTCATTTGCAGGATCTGCTTCCCAGTTCAGGCTGCCAGATGCAATAGAGCCTTACCCATAAATGTGACCACCTTCTGAATCTGTCACTTGTCCCCTAGCCTCATTGGGAGCTTTCTTCTGACCCCCAAGATCTCCTGTGCTGTCACAAAAGCATGTCCCATCCAAAAGATTCACAGGGAGGAGATGACAATGCTCCAGCTCAAAGCAATGCGTGTTTAAGCCACAGATAAAGCTGATGAATCCTCCACTCCCCTGAGGAGCACCCTTCTCTAGGTTCATTTCACTGGAACATTTGTCACAGCATCTGGCTCATGGACTCTGAGAAGGATTTGGAAATTGGTCTCTTTTGAGTGCAGAGTGAACTGAGAAGCCAGCTTAAATTGGCTCTCACTGAGAGTTACAGAAATAGGTTCGATGAGCTAGTGACACATCTTGAAGGCGGAAAGATCCTTCCAGCAGCAATAGCTAGACAAGCAGACCTTGACAGGGGAACATCTTAACAGGATACAGTCTGTTGGGGGATCAAACTGTTTACCAAACAGAATAATTCTATCTTTCTGGAAATTTGGGTTGTTTTATACTTCTTTCCTAACCTCTCTTTTGGCATTGCTACCTTCATGTCACATAATTCTCACCCAGACGGACTAAATTACTCCCACTTAACTTTGGCTCATGATCTCCAAGGATCTTTTTCTGGCTGCCCACAAATTAAGGGTGTCTCCTCCAACCTTAGGAAAATTCCATATCTTCCAGAATAAAGAGAAAAAAGTGAAACGTGAGCACCTGATTTTTCTGATAGCCAGGCAAACTGTGTTTGAGGATTAGAACAGGTAGGGAGTCCCCTGGAAAGGCCTGTGTCCCCCGCTCCTCCTGGGAGCACTGTCACATGATGAGCATGAGTCAGCAGATGCCATGGAAATTAGTAGAGTGTTCCTGCAGAAACAAGTTCCCTTCTTAAAAATACAGCCAGTCTGGGAGCTTGAAGGGTTTCACACTTCACAGAAGCACTCCTGGGTAGATGCAACTCGGGGCACTGACTGCAGTGAAGGATATGTCCTTACAAGGTCTGGCAAATCTTTTGCCAGTGTCCTGGTGAATGGAGTTTCCTTCTGAGCATCATCTTCCCCATGTTGGGGCAGGGTTAAGCAGTTGCAGGAGTAGTTTCCATAAGTACTCAGCTCTGAAAGACAGTCACATAGTAACCAAGCACTCCACTCCTTCTGGTTGTGATAGGTTAGATTCATGTTGACTTCTCACCTCTGAAATGGAAATGAGGCCGTTGGATCAGCTCTTCGAAGTTTATGTAGAGGCCGAGAGGATGGTGCTTGGAGGTGCTCAGTGCCTCTTAGAGTGGAGATGCAGGAGCAACATTTATTTTCAAAAGCAGAGGGTGGCAGAGTGTCCTTGCATTCCTTGCCACCTCCAGGCTAACCAGATCCTTTGGAACAGCTGCTAGGAGAGGATGTACAGGTGACAACAGGTTTGGCATGCATGAATCTGACACTCCTCTGCTGTAGTTTTCATTTCTGTCAGACCACAGTACAGAGTAGTTGCTGAGGTACAGAGAAAGTATATTTTTAAAGCCTCTGGAATGCTTAGGGCCCTGGGTTTCATCCCCAGCACCCAGCCTCCCCATCCACCCACCCATCTCTTTCTATTCTTGCCACAGTGGATTTGTGCATTCCTTGCACTTGGCAGCAGATCCAGAGACTGAGGACTGTGGACCTGCAGCAGCAGCCCAGAGACACATCCACAGCCCCCTCAGCATTGCACTTTCCTGTTCACTCCCTGTCTACCCAGAAAAGAGGAGGTCCTGACAGAGGAACCTTAATGGCAGTGGCTAGAGGGAGGTTCAGATCAACTGACCAGCCCATTTGCTGCCATTTGCCTGGGGCTGCATGAGTCACAGGCTCCCAGATTTCCTAGCACTTCTCATAGGCTTTTCTTCCTTCTGACTTTAAGATGTTATCAACATAAACCGGGGTCAGAGTCAGACTGGAGAGGATCATTTCAAACATTTAGCGAGAAAGGTACAAGCATGGAAAGTGCCTGGGTCTGCACATAAGTTCCAAATGAACTGGAGCCCCTCCAAACTGAGCTCAATGATAATTCAGAGCACTCCCAGCCTGCCAGTGACGTGACTGTGATGTGAGAAGCCACAGCTGCTGGACTGGGCTCACCTAGATGAGGCTCAGGCCATGGAGATGAGCTGCAATAAGCAATTTGCTTCAGCCTCCCAGCCTTTCTGAAATCTCTTTCAAATGAAGTCCTGAAATAGGACTGCATTTCCACAGGCACCAAGCTGTCAGCTTCAAAGGAGAACAGGCTTCCAAGGCCGATCCTTTTATTGAGCAGCTGAGGCCATGCCTGGGAGAGGATCAGATATTTGAGGGGATGGTGACAATCTCATCCTGACACCATCCTTGCCTGGGGGCCCCTGTGGCCTGTTTTGTCTAGATGTTTTCCAATTCCCAGGGGTGTGAGAGGGAGGCATTTTCCTATCTCCCCTCGTAGCTGAAAAACCAAATTTTACCTTTGCTGGGGACTAGAGTGTTGTATCTCAAAGGACACATCAGTGAATTCAGGAATTCCTATTTCTTTTGGCATCTTCAGTTGAAAAGCAACAGGCTACCCCATAATTTGCTCCCTCTTATTTTTACCCAAGTTGAGCTCGCCATCCTGGCACTGATACCAAACTTGATCTCAGCCAAGGGAGTTAACCTTGGTATACCTCAGTTTTCCCATCTGCAAAAAAGAATAAGAGGTCCTCCCAACTGGTACAAGACCAAGCATGTATGAACTCACATTCCTTTGACAGTTGGGTACCAGATGTGTCCTATGGCAACCCTGGGCCAGCCAAAGAGAGGTCATGTCATGACCAGTGGCTCATGGAGCAGAAACCTGCCAGGTTAGTCCAGGGATCTGCCTGTCTTCTCAGGCATGGTGATGGGAGAGAGATGGCCAGGCCTCAGCTGTCTGTATAGAAAGGATGCAAATGTTCCCTGTGTGGAGAGAGAAAGGGGGGAGGGAGGGGGAAAGAGATACCACACCAGTCAGGAGACAAAAGCAACACTTTGTCAGTTGATTGATGCCATTTATTTCTGGACAAGCTGACAGGAGGCTTGGCCTCTCTTCATGTAAATTATAGTGGCGTCATCTCTTGGTTATGTTGACTTGTTCGTAAGTCTGCCAAGTCGCTTTTCTCTTTTCTGCTTCCTTATCAAAGGGGACAAAAGTCTCCCATCTCTCTGTGTGTACCATTAACTTTCAAGGTGACTTTTAAGCTTTTGAAGTCCCTGCCATCTGCTCTGTGTAGCTCTGTACTTTGCAGGATGGAAGAGCATCATGTTCCCAGAATGCCTTCTGTTCTCCTGGACATGACCATTAATAGCTCTGCCTGTGAAGAAAAGAGCAGCAGCACTTCACCCTCTCAGAGCCCAGTCCCCCTTAGCCACTTAGGAAGGACTATGACCTTGAGTTACTAAGAGAGTTCTCTGAGGAATGAGACCAGATACTAAGACTGGTCTCTAATGTGTGCCTGACTGATGGTTTGGGAGAGGGAACAATTCCATCAGAAAGAGAACATAATTACAATTTGGGCAAAAATGCCTTCTTAGAAGGACTGAAGTAACAAGAACCAGTGAACTCTGATGTCATGTGACTTTCCCCTGCCTTACTGCAATGTGTAAAGAATTCTGAAAATGAATCTGAAGGCATTTTCTGCCTGCCTACTATGGCCAGACAATGGTAACTAAGCACACAGAAAGTTGGACATGCACAGTGGCAGATGGCAAGAGCAGCCCATTCTTGAGGAAGGACACTTGACTAGGTTGCTGAAGTGAGTGAGAGTTCTTCACACTGATCTGTCAACATTCACATCTCAATCCTAAATCTGGGTAGCTGTGGCCTGTTTTTCACCAGGTGGCTACTGCAACCTTCCACCTCCAGCTAGTGCAGCTGAGGTGCCAGGCTTTCAAGGGGCATGACTTTGGGTTGACCAAGCTGCATCTGCATTGGACTCTGATGATTGTGCTTCCATAGCTCCTTTTTAAAAATTGTGTGTGTGCATGTGTGGTTGTGCGTGTGTGTGTGATTGGTATGTGCACCTGTGCATGCATAGAGGCTAGAAGAGGACACATTGGATGTTCTGCTCTATCACTCCCCACCTCATTCCTTTGAGATGGAGTCTCTCACTTAATCTGGAGTGGGGGCAGGGGCCAGCAAGCCTCCTGCCTCTATCCACACACACCCACACACATAGCACCAAAGTTATACCTGGTCTTTTACACAGGTGCTGCTGAACCCCACATCTGCAAACCCAGGATGGACTTGCCAGGGAGAAATCCCAACAATTGGCTCTAGTCTCTCGTGGCCTTAGTGTCACCTTTTACCAAATGTCCTAGTTCTTGTTTGTATATAACAGAAACCAAGCCTAGCTGGATAAATAGTAAATATTTTCTTTAAGGAAGATTGGATAAGCTACATATCACCAAGATCATAACCGTGATTGCTCACAGGTTCACAGGATACTACCACCATGGCCAGAACCTCTGCCCTTTTGTAAACTGAATGTAGGGACTGCCACCAGAATGAATTGCAAACAGCCAGTAGCGGCCAGCACAAGGCCTTGGGCAGGAGCACCACAAGAGCTGAGGGGGAGGCTGTTGGCTGCGTGGTTGCCTTCTGCAGTGGAGGTGGGCTCAACTTCATAGTGTGGGAATAAGGAAGGGGTACAGAGGCCACCTTTTCTAAAGAAGTGCCATTCCTGACAGGAGTCTTGGTTTTTAGTCCTCTGTCCAAAAAAGAAGGACCCATGTCCTCACCCCTAGGTGTCTCACCAGGACAACTGGCCATAGAGGCATATTTGTCCTCCAGAAAGGCTATGTAGTAGGAGTGACACATAAGAATGTCACCTCTGGGCTCAAGGCAGGACAATTATATGTGTGTTCCCTTTGGAAACACAACAGCTGAGCCACAGAGGCCAGATTGCCACTGCTATCCAGAGACAGCTCCACACACCACCACACAGCCCTCAGCTTCCAAAGAACTGTCATAAACCTGCCCAGCAAAGCTTGGGAGTTGTCAATGGGCCATGCATTCTCATGACCACAAACCCAGCTCTATTAGACTTCTCCGGACCCTGATTGACAGCCCATCTGGAACAAGATGCAAATGATTGTCACATCTTCTCTTCTAAGCCCCTAGCCAGCTGGGGGATTTAAAAATAAAGAATTGCAACAGAGTAATAGTCAAGCCTCTCTCCTTGACAGTGTGAATAATTTCCCCCAGCTGTCACCAGGGCCTGCTCCTGTGTTCTTGTGAGCATGGGAGGCCCTCTCGGCTAAAAGGAGGCAAGGGATGCACTGTCATGTAAAGAAGACCCCCCCCAACTTTCTCTCCCTGTCCTCTGGAGAAGCAGGTGAGAGTTCCCCTGCACTAATGAGCTGCAGCACACCTATGAGGGCAGGCTGGGAGGCTTGGAGATGACAGTGCACCAAGCCAGGTGGCCCCTGTGCAGGAAATGAAGCTGCCACACTGAACAGGCCCATTGACCCAGAAGGACTGGGCTTGCTGCTCTTGTGGCCTGCATCTCGCCCTCATCTTTTCCTTCCCAGAGCCCGAGGCTGACTGAAGACTTGCCCTGCTGAATGCACTTACAGAAAGGGTAGGGGGCACATACTGTCAGCTTAGTGCTAGCAGCACACATGTGTGGGTGGTGTCAGGATGGGTTTCAAAGGCTCCATATCTAATAGAGGAAAGAGACAAGCCAGTCACCAGT